GTGAGGGGGGGGGGGGGGGGGGGGGGGGGGGGGGGTGGGGATGGTGAGAAGGGTTAAATAACCATCTTTAAAGAAACAACATTCTCACAGAGTGCCTGAGCGCTGCCCATGGTCCAAAACCCTCATGGAAAACAAAGTGCTGGGGACATAACATACATGAAGCTCTCAACTGGACAAGGACCTAAGTATCACTGAGGGTGTAGCCAAGGGCCCTGGACACTAAGCCTTACCCACTGTGGTCCTCTAGAGAAAAAGCTAACAATCCTATAAACCAACACAGATCTTGGTCCTAAAATGAGGTCATATGCATGGACTCACCCAAGTGAGGAAGGCATTAGACCTCACTCATAGACAGGCCACCTCCCTACAGCTGGCCCAGACTCCTGGGCTGACTTAGGAAAGCAGAGCAGCTGTAGTGACTTCAGATTTGGTCAGTGGAGAAGAGATAGGAAGAGATTACCATCTAGATATTGCCCTGGGTGCCTAGAAATTGATGGAGCTAATAGCTCCAAGGTTCTATAGACACATTGTAGCTTCCTAGCCCATACCTCTGAGACCAAATAGCTGTAACCCCTGCATGGGCTTTAAGAGGTAGCTGAAGTGAGGCAGGCCAATTATTTGGGCCACAGCAGAAGATACCCTGTCCTCACACCTCTGCGGCCAAGCATGCCCCAAAGGGTTAACAGTTCAGATCTCAGCCTGGCACAAGGGCTGGAAGAATACTATGATTTCCAAGAGAAAAACCTTAGGAGACCCTCCACAGGACAACAGATCCTAGCTGGAGATGGCAAAGAAGCCTCAACATTTACACTGCTGCTGGGCACCCTGAGTAACTAACTATACAGGGTAGCAAGTTCTTGAAGTGGTAGTGCCCAACACGGGAAAAGGGACATTAGTTTGTAATTTCTGGTCTTGAACACATGATTGTAAGCAGTAATGTTCTATTTACTTTTGGTTTTCTGACAAGGGGTTCTGCTCCTAGCCCAGACTGGTCTGATGTTCAGTGTCCTGTTGAGTCCTGGGTTTACAGGCACACACCCAGCTCAATTTTGAAAGATGAAGCAACTTACAGGATAATGCAATAGCTGAAATACCACAAGAAGCAAAATTTCAACCAATCTTTGTCTATGGTTTTCTTAGCTTACAGAAGCTGTCAGCTCCAAGACACTGTTGCCCCAGTGAGCTGCTGTGTAAACTGAATACCCTGGCAGGTGCACTACAATAACCTCAGCACAGAGCTGCCACACGTGAACACAGATGTGAGTGGGATGTGGAGGAAAGGCAAACACAACTACCTGCAGCTGTTTTGGTTCCTGGGATCAGTCTGTTGTTATAAGTTATTCTTGACACCTGGAGGCTCAGGCAGCAAGAAGTGAAATCCCAAGGACTCTTTTTTTGGCCAAGAGGGTGCTAGCAAATGGCACCAGAACAGTCTTCAGAGAGGCATCTGGATCTAGGGACCAGCAATGGCTACATGGAGATGGAGATGAGAATTAGTGGTAGCCTCCCAGGCTGAAACCCATAGGCAAGTTTGTGGCAAGGCCAGTATCCTTTCTCTTAATAATCTTTTTATCTTCCCAAACAGGACACCTTGGCACCAACATGGCAAAGGACCCTGACAGGATTGTCCCAAATGGGGCGCTGGAGGCCAGGCACCTGGGACCATTGCTAGTGTATCCCCTCTTCCTTCCTTTGACGATCTTTAATACGAACTCTTAGGCAAAACAAAACAACAAAAACACCTCCAAAAAGAATCCTTTGGGTGACCGTCTGTCAATCATTTGTGCAGGCTAGAGGCACCTGTGAATGTAAGGCTACTGAGAACAGAGAAGCAACATCGGCCTGGACCTGGCACTACCAGAGGGCAGGAGAACTGGTGCCTGAAGAGGCTCCTTCACACACAGACACACCCCTCAGTTTCCTTGTCTTGGGCAGGAGGAAGCTTAATGACAAGCTGTTTCTTACAAAGGCTCTGCCCAGGAACACCATTCCCAGGTCAAGAGAAAAATGGAACCTCCAGGGGAATGACAAGAGCCCAAACTGCCCAGACTCTGCTTACAAAGGAGAAGAGTCCAGGGCTGGGTGTTTCCACTCTTCACGAGCTCTGAAAAGGGCTGACGGGTCTGAGCCTCAAAATCAGGCATGAAAATGTTCAAGTCATCTGACCTGCTGGCTCAATGGATGGCAGCTACAGATGAAATCTCCTAAGACTTCAGTTTACAGTCACCAACTTCATCTGCATACCCCACCCTTGGTAAAAGCCCACTGTACACCTACAGGTGTTAACTAACTGCACTGCACACCTGCCCCATCCATGTAAATAAGACTAACCCACAATTTAAAAATTGCAAAGTGTCCAATGCCCTCCAGGTCACAATACCCTGGCCTTAGCACTAGGCTGCTCAGTGTGGGAGCCTTGCATGAACCAGGCCTGACTGGGCTGCTGCTCCCTTCCCAGCATGCCCAAGCACCATGATCTCTAGGCAGTGGCAGAAGTGGGCTGCCGGGGCCCTGTTTGGCCTGCTGTTTCTGTGCTTGGTACTCCAGGACAGCCAGGAACTTCTGTGGCCCTTGGGGAGCTGGATGGTTGAGCTCCAGGACTCTCAAGCCCTTGTTCCTTGGAGGCAGTGGCAGCCTCTGGCCTCCGCTCAGTGCCAATGTCAGTGAGGGAGCCCTGGGCACCAGCAGTCAGGTCCTGTACCCTCTTGTTCAGGTCATTGCGCTCTGTCTGCAGTGCTCGGCATAGCTTCTCCAATCGTTGGATTTTCACCTGCAGACCTTCCAGCTCTTTGTCCCGGAGAGTTTTCTAGGTGGAGAAATAAATGGAGCATTCAGTGAGACACTCATTTCTTTAAGTTTGTGCAACTTAAAATCAAGAGTCGGCCCCTGCCGTAAATAGCCCTAGCTTACAGTATGACTTTATTGTCAGACAATGTATCCCTCTACTTATCTACCAGATGACCCAGGCAAATCATTTGCAACTTGAAACTGTAACATCTGTTAAACAGAACTAGCCAACCTCAGTTCTCAAAAGAAGGTTCAAAGATGAGATATATCAAACAGGAGAACTACCCTTTGCAAATAAATGAAATAAATAAAACAGACTACTGGGCAAAACTGGCTTGCAGCTGCTGTACTATGTTAGTGTCTATCTTGTAGACTGCAAGCCACAGTCACAACTCTGAAATGCTCGACATGTGAATCACACCAACCATTAGGACCCACTGTTTCCTGTTACTGGGACCCAGCCTGGGTGCCTCACATGACAATACTGGTAGCAGCCAGCATTGTCACTGCACTTGGATAAATATGACTAGAAATAGAGTTATAGATCATGTGTAGTGTCACTAAGAAACAGGTAGAGGGCTGACAGACCATAACTGCACCCAGCTCACTGGACTCCACCCACCTCTTCAGCCATCTCGAGCAGGGCCTTATTGCTGCTCTCCCACCGGGATCGATACATGGTCGTTTCTTTCTCCAGCTTTTTGATCTTCTTTGTCATCTGTTACATGACAGATGGAAAGGAAAAGGTCAGAGTTCGGCTGTCTGGACATCTGTGCCTCCAAGGAAGGAAACATTACACTTGTGCCAACTGAAGAGTCTCAAGTTAAGTCTACCACTGAGGGGCTGACAAGACTGCTTAAGAAGTAAAGGAGGAACTTGCTACCAAGCCCGATAATCTAAGTTCCATGCTTGAAACCCACAAAGTCAACTTCTGCAATTCTATGGTGTATGTATACAACAAATACATATACCCCCCACCAAAAAAGTGATGTAGGGTGAGCTGGACAGTGGAGGCACATGCCTTTAATCACAGCACTCAGGAGTTGGATCTCTGTGAGTTCAAGACCAGCATGGTCTACAAAAGCTAGTTCCAGGGCAGGCTCCAAAGTTACAGAGAAACCCTGTCTCAAAAACCAACCAACCGCTCAGTGGTTAAGAGCACTGACTACTCTTCTAGAGGACTGGGGTTCAATTCCCAGCACCCACATGGCAGCTCACAGCTGTCTGTAACTCCAGTCCCAGGAGACCTGACGTTATACAGACATACATAAAGGCAAAACACCAATGCACATGAAATAAAAATAAAAAATTAAACAAAACAAAAACAAACAAACAAAAAACCAAATAAATAAAAAAGCCAAAAAATAAAAGTAAATATTTTTTAGGAAGGCTACTATTGAAGCCTAGTAATGGAAGGCATACTCTCTACTACTTTAAATTCCAGCATTAATATAGAAACCAAACTAAGAAATAATAGAAAAACAAACACAAACTGTGTCTCGAGGGGGAAGAGAGGAGGCTGTGACACTTGTAACTACTTCTTTCTGATATATGAGGCACCCAAAGGTAGTTCTGAATGAAGTGGCTTGAGGCTCCTCTTGGCCCGGCCCAAACCCTCTGGTTACCTTTTCCATTTCTTGCTTGAATGTGGTAAACACTTCACTGCTTTTGGAAAGTGTATTCTGGAACTCCTCAAACTTCTCTGTGTACAGGGCGAGCTGGGTGAGAGATAAGCACAGAGATGAGGCTGGACTTCTTTGAAAGCATCTCTGGGTAACACATTCAATTCAAGTATCCCTTTGGCCCTTGATAAAACCATTCGACTGAGACACCATTTCCTAGTAAAACAGAACCAAAGCGGTGCACAGGAAGGATGTGCTCCAACAAAAAGAAACTAGAAGGTAAGCTTGAGAAGACTTCAGCACATAGAGATTCTGACACTGGTCTCTTAAAAATACAAAACAAAGGGAAGCAGTAGTGCACACTTTAATCCCAGTACTTGGGAGACAGAGGTGGGTGATCTCTTTGAGTTAGAGTCCAGCCTGGTCTAAAGAGTGAGTTCCAGGACAGGCTCCAAAATTACAGAGAAACCCAGTCTTGAAAAACCAAAAAAAGAAAACAAAAAACAAAACAAATAACAACAACAAAAGAGTAAAAAACAAAACAAAAACAAAAAATGATGAGGCTGGAGAAAATGGCTCATCAGTTAAGAGAACTGGCTGTTTTCCACAGGATGTGGATTTAATTCCCAGCACCCATGTGGAGACCACAACCCTAACTCCAGCTTCAACCACGCATAACCACCTCCTGGCAACCTTTTCTTTCCTTTTTTTTTAAAAAATTTACTTATTATGTACACAGTGTTCTGTCTGCATATATGCCTGCAGGCCACAAAAGGACACCAGATCTCATTATAGATGGTTGTGAGCCACCATGTGGTTGCTGGAAATTGAACTCAGGACCTCTGGAAGAACAGTCGGTGCTCTTAACCTCTGAGCTATCTCTCCAGTGCCCCCAACTTTTTCTTAAATAAAAGGCTTGATTGAGACGAACACAGCAGTTGGCTCAGAACAAGCATAAGATGAGGGTCTTGTTGTCACAACCCTAAAGATGGGGCCACATGACTGCAGGTAAGGTTCCAGTCTCACCTGCTGCTTCAAGTGAGTCTCCTGCTGCTTCATCAGCTCGCACATCCTCTGGGACTCCACTGCTTCTTTCAGGAGCTATTTCCAAGACAGGACCCCAGAACCTGTCAGCAGCCCCTGGGGGGTATGTTTGGCCTTCTTTAGCCACAAGCACTGGACCCACTGAGGCTACCTGCTTTCAGACTGTCATCTGAACAGGCAGTTATGGGACCGGGCAGGCAAATCCTCTCCCACCCATATGAACTAGACTCTGAGCTAAGCCAAAACCCAGCCCACTTCCTTGTATCCCAACCACAGCCCTGGGGGGCCTGAGCCTCACAAACTCCTTCTCCCGCTGGTGCCGCTCCTCTGCCTCCTTCAGCATCTCCTGGGCCTGCTGGAGTTTGGCATCCACTAGCTGCTGCTGCAGGTCCTTATGTTTGAAGACTTTGTCGATATGCTGTAGAAAAGGTATTAATGGGATCTGCTTGTCAGGAGTACCCCTTCAAGGAAGCCCCAACTCTAGAACACAAGGACTTTATCCAGTCTCATCTTGATCCCACTGTCCTTGGGAGGTCACTTTCCTAACCTCAACCTAATGTGTAGATAGGACACTATACCTCTACTGTACAACTGAGTATTTCTACAGATCCCTGGTTCAGACACCAGAGGGAAGGCCCTGTGGGCCAAATGTTTTCTCTCCATTTCAGTGCCTTGTCTATGAATCACATCTTTTGAAGAGCAAGAATAGGCCTGCAGAGTGCTGCCCCAGTGCCTCTGGCACTCACTAGAGCCTCACAAGCTGCTGACCACCTCACCTCTTCACGAAGCTCATATTGCTCAATCAACTTCTTGAGCCTCTCCGCCAGTTCCATATTCTCTTGGCGCAGCTTGGAGTTTCGCTCGTTATGCTGCTCCATCTGCAGCTGAATGTCATTCAGTGTCACCTGGAAGTGTGAAGTCACCTCTTTTCGTTTCTCCTCCTCCTCACGGGCTCGCTGCACACCTTCTTCCTGAAGAAAGAAGCCAGCCCTTGAACCATCATCCACAGCTCTAAGCTCTATACAAAGCACCCCTAACTAGTCCAGTCTTTGCCGACAGAGCTACTGGCCCCACAATGAGAAGCACGGAGGCTCCAGGATGTTATAAATCAGGTGACATCAATTGAGTTTCTCCTTTTGAACCAGACGGTGTGGCACACAACTTTGAGGGTTAGGTTATGGGGGAGGTCCTTCTGTGTATGCATTTGTCTTCTTGGTTGATAAAGCACTGTTGGCCAATAGGAAAGCAACATAGGCAGAACTAGGAGAGAAGGAGGATTCTGGAAAATGTAGGAAAGTGTCAGAGTCACCATGTGATCCCCGGGAAGACAGGACGCATAAGGCCAGCATCTTCGTTAAGTCTTTATAAAATATATAGATTAATGATTATGGTTGATAATTAAGACTGAGCTAGCAGATAAGAAATCCTAGCTATTGGCCAGCAGCATTGTACCTAATACTAATCTCTGTGTGTTATTTTGGGCACCCATGTGATGGTGGGGCTCAGGAGGCTTGTGGAAAGAGTTATTGTTACAGTTAGGGTTAGGTTAGAGAAACCATGTCTCGCACCCCCACCCCCCCACACAAAAAAGAATACTCAGCATACATGTTAAGTGCCATTCTGAAGCAGTCTGGATCTTCTGAATTCGTGTTCCCAGATTCTAGATTAAGTATTCCTGCTCATTTCCCATAGAAAACAAAATGATAAAATGTGCTGATGATAAAATCCTGTCTCTTTTTTTATTAAACATTCTGTCATCTTAAAGCAATTTTAAAAATAATTCTATTTACTGCTTGTGTGTACACATGCATACCATGGTCCACATGTGAAGGTCAGAGGATAGCTAGCTGTAGGAGTGGGTTATCTCCTTTCACTATGGGGGTCCCAGGGATTGAACACAGGCTATCAGGTTTGGCAGTAATTACCTCTACTGGTCCCAAATTAATTTTACTATTTTTTTTTTCTTGTGTTACTGAGGACTGAAGCGAGACTGCTGGTAATGCTAGACAAGCACTTTACCCCTGAGATGTACCCCAGGCTTTAACCTCATATTCTGGGGTAAGGTTTGCGAAGTTGCTGACCCAGGTATTGAACTTAATTAAGATCTTTCTACCTCTGCCTCACATATTAAAAAGATAAAGCTAAACATGAGCAAAGTTATGTATCATCAGTTCAAATTCTAAGGGCATACACAGTGAGCTGCTTTAACCGAAGATCACAACAAAGTCTTAACTAACATCGGGGACAAGTGCTGAGCAAGGCATCAGAGCTCCATACATACGTGTGTGAGTGTGCACATATACATGTGTGTGAGTGTGGATACACATGTGCACAGGAGGACAGCCTTCAAGTGGCACCAACAATTTTTACCTTATTTTTTTGTTTGTTTGTTTGTTTTTGTTTTTCAAGACAGGGTTTCTCTGTGTAGCTTTGGAGCCTATCCTAGCACTCGCTCTGGAGACCAGGCTGGCCTCGAACTCAGAGATCCACCTGCCTCTGCCTCCCGAGTGCTGGAATTAAAGGCGTGCACCATCAACACCCGGATGGAAAAATACTTTAAAAGATGTATCTATTATGTATATAGTATTCTGCCTGCATGTATGCCTACAGGCCAGAAGGTATCAGATCCCCTGGAACTGGAATTATAGACAGTTGTGAGCTCCCATGTGGGTGCTGGGAATTGAACCCAGGTCCTTTATAAGAACAGGCAGTGCTCTTAACCGCTGAGCCATCTCTCCAGCCCCCGAGACATATTTTTATTTATGTGTCTCTGTGAACCTATGCCACATATATGCAGATGCCCAGAAGTCAGAAAAGGGTATCAGATCTCCTTGATGGTTGTGGTTGGCCCAATGTGGAGGTAGGAACAGAAGCTGGGTCCTCTGAAGACTAGTGAGTGCTCTCAGTGCTATCTCTAGCCCTCTCTACTTTCTTTTAAAGACATCATCTCTCATCAAACCTGCAACCTGATGATTCAGCTAGACTGGCTAGCCATCATGGGCCATGGGTCTTCCTGTCTCTGCCTCTTCAGTACTGCGGTTATAGGGACATACTACCCAGCACAGCCTTGTAGGTGACAGGGATCCAATTTTAGTTCTTAGGCTTGTAATAAGTCCTTTCTGATTGATCCTAAGGTTCCCTCAAAGGTGTATTTTATAGAGGACTCTGGAAACTATTATCATGCTTCAGGGTGATGGAACCTTCAAGGTTGTTTGAAATGGCTTTAGATTTTCTGGGGGCATCCTCTGCAGCAATTTTGCTGTACCGTATATTACTGTCATATTGTGTTCCTGTCCTCACCACCACAGATCTGAAAGCAGTAAGGACCACTAGTTCATGGACTAAAGCTTGCAAAAGTCTGAATCAAAAGACAATGTTTCTCGCCGGGCGGTGGTGACGCATGCCTTTAATCCCAGCACTCGGGAGGCAGAGGCAGGCGGATCTCTGAGTGCGAGGCCAGACTGGTCTCCAGAGCGAGTGCTAGGATAGGGTCCAAAGCTACACAGAGAAACCCTGTCTCGAACCCCTCCCCCCCAAAAAAGACAGGGGTTCTCTGTTTAACAGCCCTGGCTATACTGGAACTCACTTTGTAGACCAGGCTGGCTTGGAACAAACAGAGATTAGCCTGCCTCTGCCTCCCAAGTGCTGGGATTAAAGGCGTGCGCTACCACTACCTGGTAAGACAACCTTTCTTTGTGTATTTTACACAGTTGATTAGCTCAGTATCTGTAGAGAGGGAAAGTTGACTAGCGCAGCAGGGAACTGCTACTAATGGAGAAAGATTCTAGCTGCTGTATCTGTCAGTCATCCTAACACACACAGTGGTCACAATTATTCTCTGGTGGAACTGGGATAGAGCTATACTGCAGCTAATTTATTTTTGGGTTTTTTGTTTGGTTTTTTTCAAGACAGGTTTTCTCTGTAGCTTTGGATCCTATGCCTCCTGAGTGCTGGGATTAAAGGCATTCTCCATCACTGCCTGGCTCACTGTATAGCACAGCCTCACGCTTTCCAAGCAGCAAGCCCACAAAATCCAGTAAACACTAACTGACTACCTTGAGAGATCGGTTGTGTCGCTGCAGCTCCCGGCAGAGGCTCTCAAGCTTGCTTCTGGCCAGGACAGCCTTGCTATGCTCACCACGGAGATGATCCTTCTCCTGTACCAGCTGGCTCTGCTTCTTCTGCAGGAGCTTCATCTGCTTCTGTGAGTTTCGGTGCTCTTCCAGCTAAGAACAGGGGGGTAGGAAGTGTCTGGAGCATGGACTATTACATGGTTCTAGAGAGTCCTAAGCTAAGCACTACCCACTGCTATAGCAGGAATAACAAAAACCCAGAGACAGATATTGGTGTTAAAGCTGAAGATCAGAGAAGCAAAGCGGCCAGCCACTAGAGAGTTCTCACCTCTCCCAGTGCTCAGACCAAAGGGGCAATCCACCAAACCTCAGTATGCTCCCAGCTGCACTGCTCCTCAGACTCCTCCTACCTTATATTCCTCTGTAGTGCTAGGATTAAAGGTGTGGGATCCCGAGTGCTGAGATCACCTTTGTGTGAGCTGTTCTCTTTCAGACTGGATCAATTTTGTGTAGCTCAGGGTGGCCTTAAACTAATAGAGATCTGTATGCCTGTCTCCTGAGGGCTAGGATTAAAGGTGTGTGTCACCACTGCCTGGTCTCTATGGCTAGCTAGTGTGGCTAGCTTTGCACTCTGATCTTCAGGCAAGCTTTGTTAGATCATAAACAAAATATACACTCACTCCTTCCACAACAGCTCAGACAAGAGCACGCTCATGGACCAAAACGGTTGGAGTTTTGCTCCTCCCAGTGACTTCTCAGATTAACCCAAAGGCCTATCTTAGGGAAATAATAATAATGAATAGTCACAAAGACCAGTGAGGCCAGAGTCAGCAGACCCCAGCTTCTATCCCAGCCCTGCCTCCAGAGGCTTCAGACTATCACAAGATCCATATCCTATCAGACTACAAGTATTCCACCTCCAACCATCTGGCAGACCTCATCAGCACCAGATTCCTTTCAGACTCTCATTCAAAACACTACCTTTCCCCACAACTACTATTCTTATTGGTGGTGTTTCATTGTTGATAGAAAGTCCTCTAACTCTCCTGACTATACAGTCTTGAAGCCCTTCCATTGACCTTTCCTTCCCAGTCAGCTCCTCTTCCATGATTATATCCAGACTTGGATCACAGAAATGCAACCCATATAAATTACTATAAAATTTTCTAGTGGCCACACCAAAAAAGTAAGGTGAAATTTAAACTGTTTTGGTGAGACAAAGTCATGCCAAATGACCCATAACTGACCTTGAACTCACTAAGTAAACCAGGGTTGACCTCAAATCCATGATTCTCCAGCCTCAGCCTTCCAAGTACTGAGATTACAGGTAAGTGTGCCACCATGCCCAACTGGCTTTTTTCTGGAACACATTGAAGAATTAACCCAGACTAGCCTAGTACTCTACCAATAAGCTATACCTCCAGCTTAAAACATCAGAATTTCAACAAGTAATCAATTTGAGATATTTTATATTCTTTTATCTTAGGTCTTTAAAGTCTGATGCAGTTCTCACACCTCAGGAGATCTAAATCAGATTAGGGAGAGGGTGTTGTCTTGGGCAGCATAGGCCAAGATTTGGTCACTCTAGGCCAGGACCATGACAATTTCTTTAGGGGATCCCTATCAGTATTTATGGTCTCCACCAAGTTTCTCACTCTACTAGACTTCAAACTTGCTGGACCCAGCCAACCTTTGTTCCATTCCCCTACTTGACTCAGCTTCTTAGGTTTAATATTCATTCTACTCTCTCGGCCCCTTTAACCTAGGGAAAGCTCCTTCCCGCTTATGTTGCACCACTCCTGAAGCAACCATACTTGAAGAGTCTTACTTTAAACTCAGACACCAATCAACGGAAGAGTCTCCGGAAATGCTACCACTTTCTCCTGTGATCTATACCCTTTCCCAGACAATAATTTGCCTCCTCTTCATATCTTCTCACCTTAGATATGGTCATGGTTTTCATTTCCCTGGAAACTCAGAAGAAACCAGGGGACCTCCAGCACAAGCCTCCCACCCACAGCCTGACTGTACTTGTCTTCTCCAGAAGACTGTAAATGAAGAAGACAGGTAAGGTCAGCTCCTTCCCTCGCTGGTGGAGCCCTTCCTTGTGTGCTGGGCCGTAGCTTCTTCCTACACTCAGAACATCATCCCTGTAGCTCAATTACTCCTCCCTTACAGTGTCAATATTTCCCTAGTAAAATCCTTCCAAAATTGATTTTACCTTTTCTGTATTTCTTTTGTTGTTGTTGTTTCTGGAGACGGGGTCTTTATATAATGCAGGCTATCCTTGAACTCAAGAGATCTGACTGCCTTTCCCTCCTGAATGCTGGGATTAAAGGAGTGTACCACTATGCAAGGCTCTATATTTCTTAGTTTTAATGTGTATAGGTGTTTCGATTACATTTATTTCTATGTAACAACTGTGTGTCTAGTACCCTAAGAATCCAGAAGAGGGTGTCAGATCATCCAGATGCAGAGTTATAGATGGGTTGTGAGCTGCCATGTGGGTGCTGGGAATTAGACCTACCTTTTCTGAAAGAGCAGCCAATGTTCTTAACCACCAAACCACCTCTCCAGCCCCTCCTCTCCTCCCCCCCCTCTCTGTCTGTGGGTGTGTGTGCGCGCGCGCGTGCGTGCGCGAGCGTGCACACACGCACACACACATACACACACACACACACACACACACACACACACACACAGAGACCAGACTTGGCATTTCTTTTTTTAAGACAAGGTTCCATAGCCCAGGCTGGCCTTGAATTCTTGGTCCTCCTGCCTTCAGGAATTAAGGTCTGCACTACCACACCTAACTCACACTTGGTATTTCTCATGATCCAACATAGAAGCTAAGAATTCTTGTCTTAGCCGGGCATTGGTGGCACATGCCTTTAATCCCAGCACTTGGGAGGCAGAGGCAGGCAGATCTCTGTGAGTTCGAGGCCAGCCTGGTCTCCAGAGTGAGTTCCAAGACAGCCTCCAAAGCCACAGAGAAACCCAGTCTCAAAACCCCCTGCCCCTGCCCCCCAAAAAGAATTCTTGTCTTAAGAACTGAACTTGAACTGGCTCAAGCTCTTAGGAGTCAACTTTCACTTTACTTAGAACTAAGAGCTAAAGCAGCAAAAGGACAAGTGCCATCACAAAGATGACAAAGCAGAGGTAAACATTTTAGGGAGATGCATGTAGAAACACATAAAGTAATGACTACACAGTATCCAGGGCCAAAGCTGGAATTCTACTTGGGAATGACTCCTGAGAAATTTACTTACAAATCTTCTCTTACTGTCAGCTCTTAAGCAGCTGACTGGAAACTACCTTCTCATTTAATAGACGGTGTGAGAATTCATAAAAGATTAAGAGGAATTAAGCCAGATACCTGTTCCTTTACCCCCACACCTACCCCAGGTAGCCTGCTGACTTTCCAAAGGCAGGGAAGGTACCAGAGGAAGGAGAGGGGGAAGCACTGACCAGTTCAGCATACTTCTTGCACAGTGCAGCCAGCTTCTCCTCTGGGGTACTCAGCGTGTTCAGTGTCTGCATCAGCAAAGTGATCTCCTTCCCTGTAAAGCACAGGGAGTAAAGGCATGCACCCCCTTCTTAGGGATTCCCTCTAGGCCCAGGCCTATATTTCTGAGTGCTAAGGCAGCTTTCACTGTTAAGACTGGTGCTTCATGAAGAACTGGGACCACCTCAATCTTGCAGCTTCATGGCACATTACCACTGCAGCACGAGTAGGTCACTAATAAACGCTCATTAAATGTAGTTAAGCACTGCTAGTGAGAAGAAAACCTATTTTAAAACACTGGTAATCTACTTAATTCAGGGCTACTGTTTCAGTGCAAAGACAGTCCTTCTGGTAAGAGTTAAAATCTCTTCTTTGGAGCCTATCCTGGCACTCGCTCTGGAGTCCAGGCTGGCCTCAAACTCACAGAGATCCGCCTGCCTCTGCCTCCCGAGTGCTAGGATTAAAGGAACGCACCACCAACGCCCGGCAAGAGTTAAAATCTTAAAACAAAACAAAACATAAAAGTCTGAGGTCCCGGGAAAAATTAGCCAAACTCCTATCAAGACTCATTGTTGCAGTTATGTTTAAAATGAATGTCTTGAGCTGGGTATAGGGGCATATGCCTTCAATCCCAGCACTCAGGAGTCAGAGGCAATGGCAGGTGGATCTTCTGAGTTCAAGGCCAGCCTGGTCTGCAGAGCAAGATCCAGGACAGTCAGGGCTACACAGAGAAACCCTGGCTCAACATCCCCCCACCCCAAATAAATAAAATGAATGTCTCTTTCATAAGTGACCCTATTAAAGAGAGAGAGAGAAACAGACAAAGAGAGAGAGAAAGAAAGAAGAAAAGAAAGAAAAGGAAGGAGTCTCTTTAAATTAGGACAGGTAATAAATGGAGGAAATAGGGACTAAGATATGGTTATAATGTCACCTAACATATTTTTTTTCTTTCTTTGACAGAGGGTCTTGCTATGCAGCCCAGGCTGGCTGCTGCTCCTGGTCTCCATTAGAGGCACATGCAGCTCAGTCTAGATTCTAAATTCATCTCCATCTCCCCACCCGCATCAGAGGACTGTTAATACCCTCCCTATTGTTATTTGTTTGAGATAAGGTCTCATCATGTAGCTAGTTGGCCTGTAACTCAGAGATCTACTTGCTCCAGCTTCTTAAGCGTTAGGATTAAAGGTGTTTGCTACCATGCCTGGCGGCTACTGATTGCCTGTATCTCAGTTAGGAAGCATTGCAACTGCCTCCCTTGGTATCCACTGCTCTCAGCACAGACCAGGTTCCTGAATTCAGCCTTGGGGGTCCCAAGAGATTAGCATGGAGATTGCAAATCATCAATACACAGAACAAATCCAATCCATGGCTGGCTTTTGCTTGGCTTCTATTATTTTAGTTGCCAGTTATTCAACTAGTCAGTTGAAAGCAGGGAACTCGGCCTGGAGAGATGGCTCAGAGGTTAAGAGCACTGACTGCTCTTCCAGAGGTCCTGAGTTCAATTCCCAGCAATCACATGGTGGCTCACAACCATCTAAATGAGATCTGGTGCCCTCTTCTGATATGCAGGCAAATATGCAGACAGAATACTGTATATGTAATAAGTAAATAAATTTAAAAATAAAGAAAAAAGAAAAGAAAGCAAGGAACTCAGCCGGGCATTGGTGGCGCACGCCTTTAATCCCAGCACTCGGGAGGCAGAAGCAGGTGGATCTCTGTGAGTTCGAGGCCAGCTTGGTCTCCCGAGCGAGTGCCAGGATAGGCTCCAAAGCTACACAGAGAAACCCTGTCTCAAAAAACCAAACAGAAGGCAGGGAACTAAACAGGTAGAAGTTAATTTTTTGGATAAAGTAGACCCTCTCTTCATTCTCAAGAGGTTCATGGTTTACCTGGTTAATGTTGACATTTGAGATCTTTACCTTGGTGTAGCCCAATTTTGTTGCTTTCTAAATAGGGAAACTAAGACCCAGGAGTGGAGCATGAACATGTCCACAGGAAAAGAGCAGGTTGCCTTCACTTGCTTCCAAGGACAAGAGGCCTTGCCCAGGTGAGCAATCTGAACAGCTCAATGCTGTTACTCCACAGTCATGGCTTTGACTAAACTGGGGGATGTTCTGTTTTGAGAAGCAGATTCCTTTGAGTTCTGACAGAGCAGGCTAGCTCATGAAATGACAGGTCTTAACTCCCTCCCCTCACCAGTAGCTGCCCTCTCACCCAGACCCTTGGCTTTCTTCTTTTCTTGTGGCCTTCGGTGGTCTCGGTCTCCAACCTCATCACTTGCTCGGACCTCTTCTGAGCCTGGCTCCCCCTTGGAGGTTTCCTTCTCGCCATTGATGACTGGAATCCCTGGTTCAGGCTCCCCATTCCTTGCTGCATAGGTTCGGGACTTCTCTGCATCTTCCGGCTCAGTAGGCTCACCCTGTGCTCCCTCCTCGCCTGGGCCTCCCTGATTGTTGTCTACACAGTATGTACTCAGAATGTCTTCCAGCTGCCGGCTCAGCTCCTCAGACACATCACACAGGGGCCCAGACTTGGCTGCTTTAGCTTGAGCCCCTACAGCAACAAGATTAGGACACAGAATGAAAATAAGATGGTTACATCCCTGGCTTGAACTTTCTTTTTCTTTAACCCTAGACAAATACACTAGTTTGGGATAAATGTTGTTTTATTTGGTTGAGACACGATCTCTCTACAGAGCCCTGACTGTCCCGGAACTATGTAGACCAGGCTGCCCTCAAAGTCAGAGAGCTACCTGCCTCTGCCTCCCAAGAGCTAGGACTAAAAGAGAGGGCCACTACGCCGAGCCTCAGTTTAATTTTTTCAAACCTTAAGTTTACTTTGTTATAAAATGATACAATTATTATCACCCAAACATACTTCTTATGACCATAAAAGACAATTATGGCTGGGAAGTAATAGTGCTAGCCTTTGATCCCAGCACTTGGGAAGCAGAGGCAGGTGGATCTCTGTGAGTTCAAGTCCAGCCTGGTCTACAGAGTTCCAGGGCAGCCAGGGCTACACAGAGAAACCCTGTCTCAAAAACACAAAACCAAACAACCAAACAAAAAAGACAACTATGTAGATAAAGCACCACACCAGGGTTGGGTGGCATGTAGTAGAGACTCCACCTCTAATTCCTTTTTTTCCTACTCAAAACGCATTTTTGGTTATTTTTATAGTTCCAGAAATGTCTCAAGTATGAAGGACAATTACCCCCCCCCCACACACTGGCAAGTGTTTTCTGGGAACATGACTTTGTTTGTGGGGTGCCTCAGTTGTCATTTAATTTAAACCAGTCAGAGCATGCTCCCAAGGTTCCATTCCAGGGCTAAGGGAGGGAAGCTTCATCACCTGCCTGGGAAACACGAGACCCACACAGAATGGGTATTGTTTCATTCCATAGTTCCTCCTTCCTGGGTAAACACTGGCCTCAGCACCGAGGCCAGTCCCAGAAACTCCTCCCTCTGCCCACTGGAAAAGCAGAGCAGGCACACACCCTCGGTCTTCCCAGGAGCCTGGTTTGTGGAACCTTCAGCCTCCGCCGCAGGAGCTGTCTGTCTGGGCCGTCCCTGGGCTCCCTCTGGTGCCGCTTCCCGTTGCCCGGGGCTGCTCTTCGGGTTGGAGTGTTTGGCAGGCCCATTCTTTTTGTCTTGGTTCTTCATTGTGATCTGCAAAGGCAGAAAACGGGTAGATCCTTTGAAGACGACACAGTTGCTATTTTCAAGACTTCAAAAAATTTCACAACCTAGATCAGAAATCCCAACGCCAGGCGCTCCAAGCTTCAAACAAACTGGCCGGCCTTGGCGGAGACTCGAGGGTCCCTGCAGGGAGGGTGTCGGAGGAGCTGGCCCTGAGGAGAGTGAAGAAGAGGCCTCCTTTCTCCCGAAAGCCACTTCCCAGCAGCACCACTCCGCTCCCTCTCGGAACGCGA